GCTGCTTGCCGCAATCAAATAAAAGATTTTTTTCTATTTTCTTATTTTTACATTTCTCCAGTGGGTTTTAATTTTGCTGCTGAACCAGGTTCCTTTCCCTCTTCCCTGTGCCAGCCACCTGCTTCTGGGAGTACGGTGCCCAAATCACACCCATCTCAGTGTGCTGCCAGTGAACACAGCTGGGGGGAGATTTGGGGACGGGCCTCCTGGCTGGGAATTTCAGGCACCAGCAAGTTTGAACCGATGCAGGGGCATCTCTGGTTTTGCCAGGGGAACATGGCAGCAGTGGGCTCTCCCTGTACCCTCACACCCGGAAAAGGAGATGAGATCGCTGCAGCAGTAAGGAGCTGGGAGCTCTCGTGACAGATTTCGATTCCCCCCACCCTTGGGCCAGCACCACCAAAAAAAACCCGTCCCCACACGACGGCGCCAACCGCCCCTGGCTCAAACCACCCCCCCAGATGACAGTGCCAACCGCCCCCCTCCCCAGACGATACCCACCCCCAAGATACCAGGGCTGCCCTTGCACTAGGCCTTCAGAGGGGCACTAGGATGGGGTGCAGGCTGGGAGCTGAGCTTTTGAGAATCTGGCCCTTAGCAGAGTCAACTTTAACAATCACGCCGAGACTTGCTCTGAGCAGGGGGAGCCGAGGGGCCGGTAAACTGCTGTCAGCCTGTGGGTCCTGCCTGCATGGCTTCCCCGGCCATTGTAGCTGCCCAGGGTGGGGCAACTGTGCTCCCCATGAACACAGCATGTCCCCCTCTAGTGGCTAGACTTGTGCCTAGAGATTTATGGGGGTGCTACTCAGGCAGTAAAGCTGTAGGCGTTAGCTCGGGAGGTCCCAGGCTCAACCCCCGCTGGCAAAGCCCAGCCATGGGAGATTGTTAGAAATACGCCGGTGCGTACAAGGCTTAAAGACTGCACCGGCCCTAGGGAACTGAGCAGCACTGCAGGGCCCTGCGGTGCAGTGTTGACTGTTAGCCGTGCAGGTTTGGGGACGCTTTCGCTCCACCCCCATACTTGCCCTGTATGGGAGCAGCAGGCACCCTGCCCCGTGGCCTGAGGGCACACCCTGCTCATTCTGGCTCCCGCGTCGGCACCTGGAACAGGGATTCTGCAACTGGAATTAGTGATCAGGTCCCCTGCATGAGCCAGACTCGAATCCAGCTCCCCCGGTGCCGGGATAAACAGCAGGAATAACAAGTCTCAGGGGGTGGCCGTGTTAGTCTGTATCCACAAAAACAACAAGGAGCCCGGTGGCACCTTAAAGACTGACAGATTTATTTGGGCAAAAGCTTTCGTGGGTAAAAACCCACTTCTCCAAATAAATCTGTTAATCTTTAAGGTGCCACTGGACTCCTTGTTGTTTGAGCAGTAATGACGTCTCTCTGGCTCTTGCTGTCCAGGGAGCCAGGCCACAGTGTAAGAAGGGACCCTAGCTGACTGTCGGTGTATTTTGTGGGGGGAAAGGAGGTGATCAAATCCAGAGGGGTGCTCCAGGGGAAAGCGCAACGAAAAACCAGTGCAACGAGCCGGGCCCATCAGAGCAAGGCCAGGCACTGAGCCCCTTGCTGGGGAAGTGGAAGGGCAGAGCCCTGACTTTGGCGTGTGAACAGGGCAGCACGGGAGTGCAAGGCCAGAGAGCAGCAGAACTGGGCGGGGAGCAGCCATCTGGGGGGCACGGAGATCGGTGCTGGTAACATGGTGCCCGCCAGGGGCCGCTTAAGATGCTCTGCCGCCCACCCCTTTAGAAATTTGCAGTGGAGCCCCGGCACCTCCCCTGCTGCTGCTACCACCGCCCCCAGACCTGGTGCTGCTGGGTTGGAGGCTGCTGGGACAGACCCCGGCCTGGGGCTGCAGCGGCCACTGTGTCCCAGTGACAGATGCCGGGATGAACTGGGCCAGTCCAGGATGAAAGACCCCCTCGGCCTTAGCCCTAGGCCCTGCAAGCCACTGAGCCCTGCCCTCTGGGTAGGCAATACCCTCACCCAGGGGTGCCCTGCCCATTGGCCCTTTCCAGGCACGTCCAGCTGCCCAGGGCCCAAGAGGGGAACGGGCTCGGGCTCGGGCAGCAGCAGCTCCTCCCCGTGGAGTGGCTCAGCTCAACCACAAGGAGCCCAATGTCCCCGCAGGGGGCAGCTCCCAGCCCATAGGGCGCCAGTTAATGGGGAGCACGTCCCCCTCCTTCCCCCGGCCCCACACAACGCCACCAGGACTGGGCACACTGATCTTCCTTACGCAGGGAGTGGGGTGTGGGGGGGTCCCGACATCTCAGCCCCAGCACTGCCAGTGCCCCACATTCTGCCCCCCCAGCTTGGGCCCCGCCTGTTCCAGATGAGCACCTCGCTGTCTGGTTCGTAGCCAGGACACGGTGGCAGCGCCCCCAAAGCCCAGACACCATGGCGTTGAAGCAACAGCTGGGCAGGAGCTGGGATGCCCGGGCAGCAGAGCCCGTGGGGGCTGGGCACTGACATGGAGCCAGGTGGAGACCCAGCCACGCTCATGGTGCTGCCAGAAGTAGCCCTGAGCTGCTCAGCGCCTGAGCCCCGGCCTTACCTGTGCTGGGGGCGGGGAGCACCCGGGGAAGGGGCAGGGGGCCGCGTCCTGCTCCTCAGAGCCCCAGCTGGCAGCTGCCCCCGCCCTCAGGCAGCCCCACCAAGCTGCCGCCCTAGGCACCTGCTAGTCGGCCTCTGGTGCCTGTGCCAGGCTGCACATGCAGCCGGCCAATGCCAGTACTGGCAGCAGGGCAGGCGCTGCCAGGCATTTGTAACCCGCTGGGGAGTGTGTTACGGGGCCCTCGGGGCATCTCTCACAGCCCCCAGCTGTGGCTCAGGCTGTAGACGCTTGTGCTTTCAGCCCTGGAGATTCCTAGTTCAGTCCCAGGCACGTCAGCCATAGTGTGTTCACGCAGGGCTGGGATCCCAGCCTTGGGCACCAGGCACTAAACCGGTTCCTGGCCCTGAGTCCAGGCCTAGCTCACCTGGGTCCCTGTGGACTCCTGCTGCCACCTACTGGGGACATGCAGGAAATGTGACCAATTATACTTCATTGGCATCATGCCTGTGCCCCTGGAGCAAAGGGCATACAGCTCTGCGGAAAGGGGCATGGCCCATAGAATCACCCCCTGGTGCCCTGCCCTGATGCCACCAGCGAGTGGCACAGAAACTCTGCAATATCCAGACCCCCCCGCCCCAATTCAGTGCTGGGTTTCCCCTCTGAAAGGGCCCTGAGACTAGCCCTAGATGGGTGGCTGCTCTAGCCAGTTCCCCCGCCCCTCTGAAAGTTGGGGGGGGGGAGCACTCTGAAAAGGCCAGGACCGTCACTGATTGGCTTCCAGCTGGTAGGGGGTGGCTGGGCTAGAGGTGCTTAAAATGATGATGCTTTAGGTGGCCAACACCTATATCAAGCCATGAATAGCTCCATCCACTCCCTGCCCCTTCTGTCAAGCACCCAGCTTGTCCCTTCTAACTCCCCCACCCCCAAATCACAGTCCCACCCCATCCCTCCAAATTTATCCCCCTGCACCAGCAGAAAGTCTTGCAGGACACACACCCTTCAAAGCATCCCAGAGGCAGCTGGGCTGTAAGGCCATGGATGTGGGCTGGAGCAAACCCACCCAGCGCCAAGAATAACTGACACAAACCATTAACCCTCCTGCCCCAAACAGCTCCATGTGCCATAAGGGATGGGGGCCACTAGCCAAGCTGCATTGAGCTGTAGGAAGCTGGCCAGGTCCCAAAGAGGTGACACCTGGCCGCCTCTAGATGCTCTCGAAGGTTTGCAGGCAGGGCTGCGACTCCAAGAATTGGGGAGGGTTTCTAGTAGCAGGGAGCGAGGTGGGGCAGATTTGGGCTCGTGCCCCCAAAGGTGCCCTGCTCTCCTAAAAACCCAGCTATGATTTGAAGCATGTTCCACTCACGTGCTCTATGATGAGGCTCAGCCAGCAATGAGCCCTGCATGGGCTGGCTCATGCAGGGCTCATGTGTTGGCATTGACCCACACAGAGCTAATCATAGGAGTGGGGCCTTCAGCTTGCAGCTCTGAAGGGGTTAAAGTATCCGGGCATCACAGTAATCACTGGTTACTTTAACCAACCACTAAGTCCCTTTCCCTCCGTGTCTGGCCACACTGCTTGAAAAAAAGGGGGGTTAATTCAAACACCCAAATGCCATTGTGATAAGAAACCGGCTGAGAAATGTTATATTGGACCATTCACACCTTCCACCCTGGGGCAGGGACGTGTAAACGGAGGGTGGTTCTTTGCCATCATCTTCTCCACATAGATCCCACCTGGCTCGGCAGAAATACCCAGACAGAAGAGAGCGGAGGAAAGGGGGTGAGCGGGACAGAGACCAACTTTTCCTCTAGTTTCTCTCCCATGTATCGGCTCCCGCTCCCACGCTTACATTGATTAACTACACACATGGGGGGCGGGGTCAGGCTTAAAATCACTTTAAGAAAAGAACCAGTTTTTCCCCCCTAGGTGAGCACCAAAACCTGAGCTGATACAACCCAAAAGGGTTTTTTTAAAACTGGTACTTTGCCACGTTTTGGCTGTTTCTGTTTCATGCTCGGAGGCTAGCGGAGAAGTGGGGGTGGGTCAGTTTTCATGCACTACTAACAATATCAAGGACACAAGGAGAGTTTTAATCAGAGGGTCTGGAAGCACTTTAGAAAGGAGGGTGAGCAGCATTTGCTGCATTTTACACATGGGGAAACTGAGGCACAAGCGGCAAACTAACTTGCCCCATATCCCGGGCTTTGAGTTGGTAGCAGAACCAAGCACGGAACCCAGCTTCTCCCCTCCATGTTGCCACCGGGCCTGGCTGCCTTAGGCTAGCAAAGCATTGCAGTGTTTGGGTTGTGAAATGGGCAGGGCGAATGCTTTGTGCTGAACAGAAATCTGTTCCTTGGCTGTGAATGGGGCGACGACTGGAACGATTTCTTTAGCCCAACCGCAGAATGAATTTGCCTGGCTGGGTCCCTTTAACACAGGAATTCCAGGCAACCTTGTGAAGAGCCCTTCCCACTCCCCCAGCCCTCTCTGGCCAACTGATTGCAGGCAGGGCACATGGAGAATGATTCACCAGCACTCTAACCCCCTCCTGGTGCCTCTTATCAAACGCCTCTCTGCAGACCTTTGAGACTGACATCAGCCCAGCTCCCCACACCTGGTTCCAAGCCTGCTCAGAGCTGGTGAAAAATGTTCTCCTTTGAGTTCTTGACCTCCTGGCTCCCTGGCTTCCCCAGCTTGGCCTGGGGTTCCACCCTGCTGGACTCTCTCTTGCAAGGTGAGGTTAGAGCCCTTTCCTAGCTTCCCTCGCTGGTCTCCTTGGCTTCCCCAGGACCCACCCGGCTCTTTTCTCCCCTGCAGGGCTAATAGGAGCCTGTGCCGTGTCTGTCCTCTGCAGCCTGGTGAAGATTTATCTCTACATCCAGTGTCTGAAGTAAGTGGGGGAGGAATCGCTCGTCCCAACAAAAATGATTCCCTGAGCAGCTTTGATTTCCTCCAAGCCCTTTCTCCCGGCCCCCGGGGCCCACTGCCCTGCGGGTTCCGTTGAGATGGGCACGCCAGCTGCATGAGTCCCACGTGGTGAAGAATGGACTCTGATGCCTGGCATTAAAATCCAGGCGGGTCGCAGCTTACCAGCCTGCAGCGGGACCATACCGGGCTGTCTGGAATGGCGGGTTCTGTCCCCTGCTGGGCTCCTGCCAGTCCCCTGGTATCGGAGCTGCCCCTGGGCCTGGCGGAGGAAAAGCTGTTTGAGTCTCTAGCTCTTTTCCCTTGGGCAGAGCCTTGGAGCTGATTGCAAAGATTAACTGGCATCTGGGGCTAGGCTGCCCCCCCCCCCCCGCGCTCTCTCTCTCACTCACACACGCTGGTTACTAGCCTATACAACAAGGGCGTGACACACTTCATGCCTTGTGTAGGCCCAGCTCACTGCACACATCCCTCTGTTCCCTCCCTGCCCCCCCCTCCCCCGGATCCCTGTGTGCTGCCCCCTCATCCCCTTCTACTACAGGGACTCCCTGCAATCCCCCCGCTCCTCCCTCATGCCAGGGCACAGGGTGTCCCCCTCCCCCATAAAATTCTCTCTCTTTCTGCCCTGCATGCCAGGGGCTCTCTGTACCCACATTCCCTCTTCCCCATACCCATGGCTCTGGGGGCCTCCCTTCCCCCCCGCAAGCCCATTATTAATTCCTTCTGTCTGGGCGCTAAGTCATTCTGGGGGTCAGCATGTTAGCCTCTATGGGGAGGATGGGCAGAGCTGGGTTGGGGTGGTGTGACGCTGGATGGTATTCATGGCTGTCCCCCACCAGCTCTTTGATCTGTGGAGGATTGCAAGCCTGGTTGAAGCTGCTGGCTCTGCCAACCACATGACAGGGTCTCCCCCCCCCCCCCCTTCCCCCCTTGGGTTTTTCTTACCCCCCCCCCCCCCCAATCAATACGGTTCTGCCCAGTGATGCCTAGAACATTCCCTGGCTTTTGGAATTGACCAGACCCGGCCTTCCAAAGCTATCGCGTTATAGACACACGTTCAGGGCCTCTCTTGGCTTGGCCAATGTGTTAGATCAGCTCCCTGGCTGGCCCCACCGTCCTAAGGCTGCCTCTGGGGGCCAGCAGGGGCCAGATACTAGTTACACTTGGGGAAGGGGGGGAAGATTGGCAAAAAAGAAGTCTTTGTGCCCCATCCAGCAATGCACAGGCCACTCTCCAGGTGGCCAATTTTGGTTGGCGGTATTCCTGGAGGTTTCATTGCATGAAATGAATCCTGGATGGTTGGCAACCTCTGCTGGTCGAGCCGCTCGGCCCTCGACCCACTAGCGCCCCTGTGGCTGGGAATTGGGTGTCTCTAGGTGCCTATGGGGGTGCACCCCAGAGCCTTTGCCTGCAGCACCGGGAGGAGAAAGCACCAGGCTACCCCTGCATGGAGGGGCTGCCGCTTGTTCAACCCAGCCCCAGCTGCTTCTGGAAGGGGTCCCTTCCCTTTCTCCTTGCTCCAGCCTTGGGACATCTGCCCCCCACCCCAACACTGCTCAGGGCAGACCTGCCACCTCAAAAGCCAAAGGGGAACACCCCCCTCCCTGGCCCTGAACCCTCCACCAGAGTGGACCCACTCTCCCCCATGGCCAGAGCCCAGGAGATGATCTGTGAGGAACAGCTGCCGGGGGGGCCTGGGACAGGGGACCTGGTGTAGGTTGAAGAGCTCTGGGAGAATGGGTGGGTAGCTGGGGTGGGGGAAGAGTCTGGAACTGGGTTTCTTTGGGGGTTATTATTTACTTTCCGGCTGAGGGGGCCTCTTGTGTGGCCAGAATTCTAGAGTCGCTGCCCGTCAGGTGGAGCCAACCCTGGGCAGCTTTGTGTGCCTGGATCTCTTGGGTCAGACCCGAAGACCCACACGAGTCCCGCTGCTCTGTGAAGATCTGCCCCTCGTTCATAAGCGTACGGCTGAGGCCTGGTGTCTTTGACTCAAGCTCCTCTCCCCAGAGTCGGCTGCATCTCGCTGGGGCTGGATGTGCAGAGCTGGCCTTTATGCATAAACTAGAGCAGACGGGTAACACTTTGGGATCCTGAGCTGCTGTGGTAGTTGTTATTAGCTGCTTTGGATGGAGGACTTGGGGAGCAGGGGGCATCCTCCAGGCAGGAGAGGGGCCTGGATGGACCAAAGGCGAAAGCAAGAAAAGCTGCTCTTGGTTGGAGTAATGGGGGGAGTCGGAGGGGTGATCCTGAGCGTGTGTCTCTCTGTTCCCAGTGACCCGGACAGGCAGAAGGAGAAGGAGACCATCCGCTCCCAGTGGTCCCTGCTGGATCACGTCCACCTCTTTCTACTGACGTTGATCTTCACGGTGGTTGGGTATCGCGTGGCTGCTTTGGTGGTGCTGGAGTTTTCCCTCAGGGCTGTGTCTATGCTGCTGTCCCTGAATAAGGTGAGTTGTCGTCTCTAGGTAAGGGCCTGTGTAATAATCTCCTGATACTCTCTGTAGTCGTGTATGAGCCATCGTTGGGCCTGGACCAGGAGGGTGGATTCCTGATGTATAGTGTAGTGCACTGTAGTAATAACTCACAGCTCTGACAGGACACTTTTCTTCAGTAGATCTCAAAATGCTTAATAAAGGAGATCTGTGTCGTTGATCCCCATTTTACAGAAGGGGAGACAGAGGCAGAGTGGAGTAGAGACTTGCCCGAAGTCACACAGAGCCAAGAATAGAACCCAGGTCTCATGAGTCCCAGTTTAGTGCTCTGTTCACTAGGCCACACTGTGCATGGTTCTCCATCTTCCATTTGCCTGTAATATTCCTGCCCCAGGGAGTGTCCAGCCCTAGTTGATGTCTCTGAACACCCCTGCGACTGGCCTGAGGGAGGTGCTGCTGAGCTGACTCTGATTACTTCTCCAAACCTCGCTGGTCCGAGGACCAAGAGACTAGAGCCAGGAGTCAAATGTTGATCTGCTGAGTGGCAGTCCAGGACAGTGGTTTTCAAACTGCGGAATGGAAGGCACTGGGTTGCGGCAGCTCTGGTCAGCACCATCGACCGGGCCAGTCAAAGGCCCGTTGGCGGTGCTGCCTGGCTAAGGCAGGCTAGCCCCTACCTGTGTGACACCGCGCTGCACCCTGGAAGCAGCCAGCAGCAGGTCCGGCTCCTAGGCGGTGGGGCCACGAGGCTCTGTGCGCTGCCCCCACCTTGAGCACTGGCTCCACATTCCCATTGGCCGGTTCCCAGGAGCTGGGGGGGCAGTGCCTGCACCTGCTGCTGGCCGCTTCTGGGGCGCAGCGCGGTCCACAGTGCCAGGTCAGGCAGGAAGCCTGCCTTAGCACCCCGGCTGCACCACTGACCGGGAGCAGCTGGAGGTAAGCCCGTGCCCCAATCCCCTGCCCCAGCCCTGTGCCCCCCCTGCACCCCAACCCCCTCATCCCTGGCCCCACCCTAGAGCCTGCACCCCCAGCCCAGAGCCCTGACCCCCCTCCCGCACCCCAACCCCCTGCCCCAGCCCTGAGCCCCCCCAAACCTGGAGCCCCCTCCTGCACCCCAACCCCCTGCCCCAGCCCAGAGCCCTGACTCCCTCCTGCACCCCAACCCCCTGCCCCAGCCCTGAGGCCCCCCAAACCCAGAGACCCCTCCTGCACCCCAAACTCCAGCTCCACCCCAGAGCCTGCACCCCCAGCCCAGAGCCCTGACCCCTCCCACACCCCTCATCCCCAGCTCCGTTGGGTCGTGGGCATCAACCATTTTCTTCAACTGGGTTGCCAGAAAAAAAAGGTTGAAAACCACCGGCCTAGGGTACTAGCCGCTGGACCACCCTTCCTGGGCAGCGTCCAATGACAGTGATTAGAAGCAAGTGTAGGCCCAGAGGTTTTGCTCATCGGACCGTCCTGTGTCTGGGCTGCTGTGGGATGGGAGCTCCCCGTTTTTACCAGTACTCCTCCGCCCAAGGGTCTGCAGCTCATGAAACCTCAAGGCAGAGGTCTACGAAGTCCTAACTCATGGCCACAGGCCACGAGGGGGTGTGGATGTGGAGGGGAGGACAGGCAAGGAGATGTTGTGCCAGACATTAGAGGGCAACGGAGAACAAAGGAGCTACCTGTCTTGGGGCAGTCCCTTAGCTCAGGTGGTAGGTGGGTAGCTGAAGGAGCCGCGGTCTGGTCCCAGCGCTTACTCCGCTGTCTTGTGACGCCACCATGATCTGAGCTGTGGTGTAACATTAGCCGCCCCAAGTTGGCGGCTGCTCTCTGACGTCTTGAGTGGTTTCCACTTGCTGTGCCGGGGAATTAGACCAGCCACTGGGCTCCGTCTGGAGGAACGTGTATAAATAGCCATCCCACGGGCGTGTAGCTAACGTGCTGCATCTCCAATGCTCTGCTTCCGCAGGGGGCCCACAGCAGCCAGTTGTACCTATTGTGCCAGTACTCCCTGGGGTGCGGCATCTCCTGCAGCCTCAGCTACCTCCTGGAGGGGGCTCCCCACCGCAGCGGCAACCTGCTCCTCAGCCTGGGCCTGGCCGGCCTGATCACCTGCTACGTCTGGAGGCTGGCCCGGCACGTCTGCACCATGTACGAGCTCCACAGCAAGGAGCGCTACTGCGGGGTCTGCATCTTCCTGCTCACCGCCTGGCACGGCATCCCCGCCCTGCTCTGCAACGCCCTCAAGATCACCTTCGTGGTGGCTGACCTGGCCGCTGTCGCGCTGATCAACAGGGATTTCCTCACCACCTCGGAGGCCATTCGCTTCTGGACGCCGCTCACCATCTGCTACACCCTGCTGGTCATCTACATGCAAGGTGAGGTCCCCGTGGCAGCTGGAAACCAGCTGAGCTCCTTCCTGGCCGGATGCTCCCAAGTCCCCTAGGTTGTTTTGGCAAGGGGATTTGTTTTGTGCACTTCCAGGCATGACGGAGGAACCCCCTGGTCTTATTCGTGGGGACTAACCGCTCAAAACGGGACCTTTAAATGGAGACCTCCCAATGAGCAAGTCCAGCCGTTGGACGCAGGACAAGGGGTCAAGCTGCCCACCAGGGTACGATCAGCCAATGGGAGCTCGTTCTGATGATGTGCTGCTTCTGTTTTGCGCTTCGTTGGTGGAGCGAGTGTGGTGGGCGGGAATGTTTGGAACCAGAATGGGACCGAATTCTCTCCTGCTGCTTGTGTAGCTTTGGTAACGCTCAGGCATGTTTCTCTCTCATTCTTAACCTCCGCATTTAGCTTTGCCCTTGCAATGAAGCACTGTCCTGGGAACTGTTCTCACCACCTTGATCCACAGATTATAAATCCAGAAGTGACCGCTGTGATCCTCTCCTCTGACCTCTTGCCTAGCTCAGGTCATAGGACTCCAACGCCTACGATCCATTCTCCGATTTCTGCCAAGAGGAGAGATCTGGACTGTCCCGGGCAGCAGCTCAGGAGCATGGCTTCCTGCAGCCCCTCCCTGGAGGCAGAACAGACGCCAGTTTGCTCTCCCGCGGCTGCAAAGGGCACGTCTATGCTGACGCGTAGCACGGGACCCTCGGTGCATACTTCAGGTGGCTAGCCCATCCCTCCGCTTGTGCCGCTGCAGCTACTCTTCCGTTCTTAGCACGTTAGTTTGGTCAAAGCTAGTGGAGATATGTCAGCCCGAGCTGGGAGTTACACCTCCAGCGCCAGTGTAGCTGAATCCGATGTCTTAGGAAGGGACCATTTTCCTGGCCATAGCAGCCACGTGGCTGAAGCTGCTGCCCAAGCCCAAGGGGAGGGGAGGAAATGGTTCATGCCGTGACCGTTTTGTTCCTGACAGAGGAGCAGAGGCATAACCCCAGCGAGCAGATGGTCTATCAGACGGTGTTTGTCAGGATGGGAGGCTTGCTCATCCTCCTCATGACGGTGGGCCGGTGGATGGACATCATGAACATCTTCATCTCGCTGGTGGGTGAGATCTGGTGCCTGGTTCGGGCAGGAATCATGCTGGACATCTGCCGGGCGCAGGTGAGACTGCCCTCGTACTGTAGGCACATGCTGCACCTGGAGGAGCACGAGGGCGGCCAGACGCCCTAGTGTTGCCGAATGGTCTCCTGTGTTCCTCGGGGCAAATCCAGCCCTGCCCTGTGCAATCTAACCTCCGAGGGACTGTGAGTCGGCTTGCAAGGGCAGAACTGTTCCCCTGCCTTGGAAATCTCAGGAGAGTCTGCTTGGCACTCGCATGACGGGCTCTGGGCCTCACCAACTCCGTTGAGGGGGAGGGGGGAGGAATTGTGGAAGTGAGGGGAGAGGAGAAGGATGTTAAGCACAGCGGGTCGACGGGAACGAGGATGGGTAGCTAAGGGGCTGCCATGGAGGCAGGAGGATGAAGCCAGCAACCGGTTACAATGGAGCCAATGAGAACATCTGTGCCCAGTGCAAGGGCCCAGTTCTCTGGGGTGGAATGACACTGACTCCAGCAGAGACCTGGGCCCCGAGCATCGGAGGGAGACAGGTAGCAGCTCCTCAGGGCGCTCCTGTCTGGGGAGTGGGCCAAGGCTGTGCAGCTATGGGGCGCAGGTACCTGCCGGTTGGCTTAAGCCTGATGCCGCTCGGGCAGGCTGTGAGGGCAGGCTCTTGGCTGGAGAGGCTGTTCGCTGTCTAATATTTGTGTGGTGGGGGATGGGGTTTTGCTTCTCCGCAGGATTTTTCTCAAAGGTTCCCAGAATCCGGTTCCAGGCAGCCCCAGCCTAGGCCTGAGGCCCATGGCAGAAAATCCAGCTCCGTGACCAGGTCCTCCAGTGGAGGGGCCGGAGCCGAGAGGTGAGAAGGGGGCTGCCATGCTCCAGCGATGGCGAGACAGGCAAAACCCCAGCGACCGGGACTGAAATGTGACATTTTAAGCTCCAGGCCGTGCCCGCTGAAGCGGCTTAATTCACACGTGCTCCAGTAGCAAACCAGACTCGGGGCCGATCTGCTGAGGACGTTCTCAAATGGACAGTTGTTTGCACAGTCCCAGGTTAACTACCTAGATGACGCTTTGCTCCCCTCAACCCCCCACCCCCAACACCCTGCGGTTGGTCGAATTGCACTGCTCCCTGGAAATGGGGAGGCCCCCATGGCCCTCCGGGCTGCATCGCATACTGGAGAATGGGAAACCGTTCCCCCCCCGCACGCCTGGTCTTGAAAGGGTTCACTTTCCCTGCTGGCTCTTTCCAGATCGTCTCTAGCTTGCCCCGACCAGCAGCTCTCGTGGGCTAGTGATGCCAGCCTCTCCGGCGGCCTGAGCTTGCAGTGCTCGTGTCAGGACCCAGCTGTCCCTGGATCAACCCCAAAGCCAAGTGTCTTGCCCACTGAACTGGTGCATAAGGCCAGTTATGGAGGTGGGTGGCGGAGAAGAGGCCATGATGGACGGGGTGGCTAGGAGAAGCTTGGTCAAAGCCAGGCGGGGTGGCTGCCATCTGAGGTTTTTGGTGGCCTGGGTGGAATGAGTTGGTGGCCAGCTGGATCCATGCACAGGTGTCCCTATTGCCTGACTCTCAGTCCCCATCGGCCCCCTGCTCAGCAGCTGCTAGAGAGTGAATGGACATGGGCCTTGCTGTCCTCCTGGAGGTTCCCCCTTCAAGTCAAGGCTGAGGCCCCTTGGCAGGGCAGCAGAGGAGACAAGCTGGGGGATGGAGGTCCAGGCCTGTTAATCCAGCACCTACACACTTCCTGTAAAGAATTCACTCCTAATTCATTGCCAAGAAAATACCCCTCCTCACTGGGTGTTGGTGCAGGTGGGGGCTCCCTCTCATCTCACAGCAGCAGGCAAGCCCTCCCCTCCGTGTGCACCTCCCCAGCGTCCCTCTGTGCCAGGGGCTGGGGTGTCCCTCAGTACCCCTTAGCATCTAACTGTGCCGGGGGCATAGAGCCGTTCCTCAGGGGCTCTGAAGGGGATGAGCCTGCAGCTGGACTGGATCTCTGAATTGCTGCCGTCCTGTGAGGCTGGAGCTGACCTTGAAATTGAGCAGCCCATGATGGGACTGTCCGGACCCCCTGCTCCAGGTTTGCCTCGTCCCCCTGGGCCATGGGTTTGCGCTGTCCCATTCAGGCTCTCCCCGACCTTGCACCTTCAGAACCCTTGGGCCACATCCTCTGGGGCTGTGATTGCAGTGAGCGCCTGGGCTGGGCTCCAGACGCCGTCCCATAATGAGACGTGAGGAGCGGTGCCCATCAGCTTCCCTGTCTAGTGAGTTCGGTGGAAGAGGGGAATCCATGGAGGTTTGTACTGTCAATTGTATGGCCATACGTGAGAATAAAGTTTAAAACACTGAGCTGGAGGGTGGGTGGCTAGAGCCCTGTCCCTCATTACTGCGCTTCTGACTGTTTATCATTGTCCTCGGGGGGGTCCTGACCTGATCAGTGGCAATCGAAGTGACGGGAAATGTTTGGAGCTACGTGGCCTGATGTGCTTCAATCTTCTCTTCACCCCCCACCAGCCTGCCCTGCCCCTGCCCTCCTCCGGCTGATCGGTATTTGTATTTCACTAGTTTTGGCCTATCCAGCCAAGTAAGATGATGGGTGAAGGTAACATCACGGGCCAGGCCAACATGCCAGTTCTTGGGCTCCTATCTTCCACATCAGGCGGGGGTCCTGCAGAACCGTTTCCACTTCTACCGTAAACCCTGCTGCCACCTGTTGTAAACCAGGACCGGAGCAGGCACGGACTCCAGTAGCGGGCGGCTAGTAGACAGTGCTAGCAAGCCTGGCCTGACTGATGGGTCTCACGGTGGCACTGCCTGCCTTGGTGAGATGGGGGCTGCAAGCCAGGTGGCGATGTGAAATTTTGTGGGGAGTTGATGTCTGGGCTGGGAGAGAAGCTTAAATAAAAAATCGTCTTCTCTTAAGTGGTGCTGAAGGGCTCCCGCTCCCTGTGTGGAAGGGTTATGGTGGTGATTTTATTTTAACCCAAGCCAGCATGATTTGCTCATTTTACGCACGCACGCCCCAGTCCAAAGCCCGGCCGCATCATGTTTCTCCAGTAGGGACCAAGTAACGGGGAGATTTTGGCCCTAAAACCTTCCGGGTGGGATCTCCGTGCTCTTCACCAGCCCGTGGGAGGCGGGTGGTACTGGCCTCGTTGCAAATGGGGACGCTGAGGCACAGAGAGTTTGTCACCTTACCAAGAGTCGGGGGCTTGGAACTGGCCTCAGGGCTCCCGCCTCCTATGACTGTACCCTAACCCCATGCCCCCCTTGCTGTCCCCGGGAGCGTACAGTCCCAACGACTAAGGAATGGGTCAACTCAAGGGCCTGAGCTGCGAGGCACAACCAGGGCCGGCTCTAGCTTTTTTGCCGCCCCAGGCAAAAAAACAAAAGGCAGCCAGCCTGCCGAAGCAAAAACAAACAAAAAAACGGAGCGCGTGGAGGGCGGTCAAGGCGGCTTGCAGGGGGGTGAAGGGCGGCACCCGCCCGCTCCCTCCGCCCGTGGGCAGCCCTCCGGCCTTGGGGTGCCTCTCCCCGGGGGCTGCAGGAGGTGCTGGCTCAGCCGCTCCTTTAAAGGCGGCTCGGCCGGGCCGGGCTCAGAGCGGCGCGGGTGGCGGAGGCCGGTGCAGGCGGCGGGGAGTGGTGCGTCCCGGGGGGCACGGTGAGCGGCCGGGATCGCTAGTTCGTGCCCCTGCAGGGCTGGGCTGGCTGCCCCAAAATTAGCCAGAATGCCGCCCCTTACAATGTGCCGCCCCAGGCACGTGCTTTCTCGTCTGGTGCCTGGAGCCGGCCCTGGGCACAGCCCCACTCAGCCTGTGAAATCCAGGGTGAAAACACCTCCCTCTGCGCTCACTGCACCATTCACCGTTGTGAAGTTCGGCTGCGTGCAGGGCCAGCCACGGCAGGGTCCCACGATGCAGGGCCCATGTTCCTGCAGAATCACAACCCGCATTTTACAACTGGGGCAGCAGTTGGCCCCAGGCCGCACAAGGCCAAGACAGCAGCGGAACCCAGAGGCCTATTACAGGCTTTAGCTGCAGGACCATCTTCCCCTTCAAAGCCCCCGTCTCCTGGAACAACTTACCCTGATGTAGATCCATGCCCGGCCGCTGGCTCTGCACCCCCAGTGCCCCTCTCCTTTGCGCTCATGGCCAGGGCGAAGGAGGAGAGGGAGGATGACCATGAGCCCATGGGCAGAGGCAGGTGTTCCCAGCAGAGGGTAGCAGAAAAGACTGAGGGGAGTTGAGGGGCTGGGGGAGCAGTAGCCCGGGGGCTTGTAACAGAGAGAGGAGCTTGTGGGTTGTAAAGTGCTATCACCACATGGTATCAGCACCACCCCAGTCACTACTGCATCCCCCAGCCCACTTCCTGCAGCCACCCAGCTACTGAGGCCCCCACCCGTGACTATCTCTGATGGGCATCACACTTCCAGTGGGGTTCTGAGCACTGGCTGGCCAGGATGTAGCCCCTGGCTCTGAGTGCTGGGATCAGCTGGTTCTCCCGCAAATGCAGAGCAGGGATCTAGGCCAACCAGCCGGCCACAGGGTGTCACTGTTGCTATTCACAAGTGTCCCAGCAAAGGGCTGCGTCAGCAGTGCTGGCTGGGAATGAACCTGGGTGCGAACAGATCCGAGCTGGACTTGCTGTCGAGTGATGCCAATGCAGAGGGGCAGAGCAGGCCCTGGGGGGCTCTCCCACAGGTCTGTGGTGCTGTCAGCCCAGCCCACCTCTGCTGCTGATTCCCCTCGGCCTGCGTCAACTTGTCGCATCCGCTCCTCGGACAGCAGCATGTGCCGCTTGCGGGGCTGGCAGCACAGCTGGCCAGCGGCAGAGGGGGTGGGCTGAGGATCCCCCTCATCACGATGAAGAGCAGCGTTTGCGGCGATGCCCACTCAGCCTTGGGAGGCCTTGGGAAATTCGGGAATCGTGCCCAGCTCTCTTCACGGGCACTGACAGCTCTCCCTGTGTCCCCCGGGCGCTGGCAGGAATCCCTGCTCTAACGCCGAACAGCGGGCATCCCAGGCTCTGCTTCAGGGCCTGTAGCTACCCGCTGCCGAACAGCGCCCTGCCAGCGTAATGCTGACGGCAACATTCCTTCCCCAACCCGCACCCTGCCTGGACTTGTGCCTACACACGAAGGCGCAGGCTGGTGGGTGAAAGGCCTTAAAGGAGGCTGCTGTCATTATGATGGAAATGGCTTTGCTTTTCTGTTCCGGTCAACATTTGACTTTATAGCCCCTGCCAGCTCACCGGGCAATACTAGTCCTGTGCACATGCACGGCACCGCACATCTGAGGCTCTCAAAGCACTTGTATCCCTGTCTTACTGATGGGGAAATTGAGGCACAATGCAATGCCATGACTTGCCCAAGTTCACACAGGGAGCCGGGGATAGAATCCAGGTCTCCTATATGCCAGTCTGCTGTTCTAACGCCTAGACTGATCCAGCCCATATGTCACTGGTAGCATACAATGTCTTTTTTCTAACAGACCTGGACTGAGGAGGTGTGTTTGGATCTGGACCAGACTCCAGGAGCGGTCTAACACTGAATCTGGGTGAGGGGTCTGCATTTGGATCTAAAGGAGCCAAAAATCTCCCAATCTCATCTCATGAAATTTCAGCTCAGACAGGTAGAAAATGTCATAAGAGGCACTGAAGAAAATATTGCAAGATTTGCCACTCTGAATGGTGGGGCTCTTGGGAGCTCCACTGTCCTACTGGGATTTCTGCCATCTTGGGACAAAGGTACTGAGAACGACAGCACCTGACCTGTAGCTGTAAAACAGACCCCTTCTGCTGCTGGTTCAAACCTGAATTCAACGCCGTAGGAGCAGGTTCAGATCCAGGGACTTGATTCCACAAACTCCAGCGTACCCTGACATGCCGAGTGGTTTGGAGTGAAGGTTCCACTCCACTACTGCTTTTTTAAAGGCAAGATTAGAGATGTTTGGTAACCCACTGTCTCTTTAAGAAGTGCAAGGGTCATGTGATGGCCAGAAGTAGACACACAACCCTGTGAGGCCCATAAAAATGAGACCCTACTTTAAGAGGAGGGCTGGGTCCTGCAGTGTAGAAAGACTGCAATTGCTCTGGTGTGGAGAGGTGAGAAATGTTGCTTTACCTATCAGCATGGTTAGTGGAGCTGGATGGAAAAGGGGGATGGATAAGTTTGATTAGTGGCAGGAAGTTGAATACCAAAAATTCTGGCCAAAATCCAAAATATTTTGGTTTTTAGAAACGGGTGTTGTAGGTCAGGTGCCTAATACTCCTATTTGCCTCTATAGACTATGTTCTCTGGTTGGACTATGTTTCCCAAGATGCACCCTGATCTTCCCTCTTGGAGAGGTCATCTAGTGTGTCATGGGGAGTCCCTGGCTATGGTGCAACATGGGAGATGTAGTTCATCCAGGAGCCTGGCCCATAGTGGAGAATGGAGACATGAGGCAACTGAACTACAATTCCCATGAGGCACTGGGATAGCATTGTCCAATTGAAATATTTCTGGGTTTGTCCAAAATATTTTGGTGTTGGGGTGGTCAGGTTTTTGTTTTTGTTTTTTTTCCAAAAACAAATCAATTTTTTTTGTGGAAAACAGACACCTTTTGTGAAAAAATTGTTTGTTGAAATCCCAGTTTTCTGTCAAAATAACCATTTTGGTGGTAAAATTTTCAAACAGCCGTAATGGTTGGTTCTTGATGTCCATTCACCATAAGCAAAAATGACGTGCCTGCTGTTTAGTAGACGCTAAATGGGTATGTAAGTGGCTATTGCCCAAACTGTCTGGTTTAGCCAAACTCTGTTTTAATATGGTACCGGATGGGAGGATTAAACAGAAGCGGACTTGAGAGCTATTCATGTCTAAAACCAGAAACAGACCCCAAACCAAAACATCAGTTCACAACAGTGACAGAGCTCAGTTGGCAAGGGTCCCCTGTTCTTTGCAAACAACGCTCATCTCAGACCTGACAAACTCAGCACACCAAACACATGTCCTGCAGGGTCTTTATCCAAAGGCTAACATGTAAGGTGTCTACAGAAAGCTTGTAATTTAGCAAGAATCGTGATCATTGCGAGATGTGTACGGGTAACACTCAAGAAATCATGTAACAATGTTGAAAGTCTGCTTTATGGTCTTGGATGCAAATGTTCGTCACCAAGGGTTAATGTGTCGTGGTGATGGCCCATTCAAGCAGGAGGGAGTTGCCACTCTCTCTGGCTAGCTGGTGATGTAATGCAAGGCTCCGACGTCTAGCAATGCTCCATCCCAAGGCCATCAGAGAATTGCAAACAGTCAAACCCACTTGGAGGTGAACAGGACCATTACAACAGGCCAGGGATCGCCCGGTCTATGAACAGAGCCAAAAGACTTAAGCCAGAGTTGGGAGAGGCCCTCTGTCTCTGGTCACTGAGGAGACGTCTGGTGGAGAGTGGGTTTGGATGCTGGGTCCTGTAAAGCCAACCAGCCAGTTCGGCAACAGACTGAACTTTGGGGTGTGGGAGGAATCTACTTTATTAGTAAGTGTCGGCCCTAGTTTGTGTCTTATGACTTTGTTTGGTATCGTAACCACTTGTTTCCAGGTGAATCTCTAGTCTCTTTTAAATAAAACTACTTTGGTTTTATTGACAGTGCTAGCAAGTGCTGGGTGTTATACAGGAGCAGTGGTTTAAGGTAAAACTGTGGTACGCTGCTCCTTGGGGGCAGAGGATGTGAGATTTCTGTGAGGAGCCATGTCAGGGGCTGGCTGTCACAGGGGAATGTTTCAAAGGGACTTGGAGACTGGGCTGAACCCATCATTAACCTGCAAGGCAAAGACAGGGCTGGTGTAGCCCAGAGGGAGTGCGTGAGCGGCTAACAGCTAGCCACCATGGGCAAGGCTGCCTCTCTTGCAGTCCTGGGGACCCCGAGAACTGTCACAGGCTCTGTAGGCTGGAAGGATGGCCCTTGTGGGTCAGGAACTAGCCTGGGACTTGAGACATGGGTTAAAGTCTCTGCTCTGCTCTGCCACATAGCCGCCCTGTGCCTCAGTTTCCCATTGTACAATAGGGATAATAGCCCTGCCCTGCCCTGCCTCGCAGGGGGTGTGAGGATAAACCCATTAAATATTGTGAGCGGCTCCACGTAAGTACCAGAGATAGACAGGGTGGGGATGTTTCGGGAGCCTCCCCTTTGGCTTTGGTGTTAGGACAGGCCTGTCTTCTGGTTCTAGTTCTGGTTTGGGTGTGGCCAGAATGTCACCTGGTCCTTCCTCCCAGCAGTCAGAGATGCTCCCGAGATCAGCCAGCAGCCTCCCTCCCCCCAGTGCGGGAAGATGGCCAGGCTGAAAGGGGAGTGGGCAGTGGCTGATGTTAGCTGGCCTGAGCCTGTCCAGTGTGTTAGTTCGACCCCATCTCCCTGGGGCTGAGGGGGACCCTCTCTGGGAAGGGCATGGACAGTTTCTCAGGGGCTTTGCTCTGGCCCAAGCACAAACAAGGCAGCGTGCGGGATGGGACAACGTCCAGCCCTGCTCTAACCCCTCTCCCCTGCCCGCCAGTTCTGCTTCCTGCCCAGACGGGGGTGAGCGGCTGCTGTGCGCGGTTCCCCCAGTCACTTCCTGACGGGTCTCTCGTGAACCCCGTGTGGCATTGGCATCGGTCTCATCACAGCCCGGGGTCACCCTGCTCAGCAAAACGAACCGCTTGGTCGGTCTGCACTCAGAGCCAGAGAGCTGCTGGTGAGAGCGGAGAGCCAGGGGGACCCCAGGGGCGCAGACGAGGGGATGCACATTGCGCACAAGAAGCAAAGGGCTCTAACAACTTCCTTCTGTTAAAGGGAACATGATTGACTCCCTTAGCCCTGCACAGCTGCTGGGTGAACACAACCTTCTGCAGCACCCCTTCCCCTCCCTTTGCACCCCTGGTTTGCAGAGGCCCTGCCAGGCAAGAGGCTGCCAGCTCACGAATGTAGCCTAGCTCTTAGGCATAAGGATTTCTGGGTTCAATGTCCAGCTCTGCTGTGTGATTTCACCTCTCTTCTTCCCCTCCTGCCCTTTCTCTATGTAGACGGTGAGCGCTCTGGGGAGCCGGCCTCTTGCTATGTGTCAGGGCAGTGCCTGGCACAAGGGAGTTGCGACAGATTTATGTTACCAATCTGCCCGGGGCGTCAGGTGATCAGGCTGAGGCCGCAGGATCTTTAGGGGAGGAGGTGGAGGAGCACACCAAGTGACTAAATTTTTTAAAGCTTTATTGATAAAATAATAAAATAACAGCGGCGAGCACTGGGAATGCTCCCATGTCGCTCAGAGGAAGAAAGAAAGCGTTCGTGCCCCAGCCCTAACCCACTTTCACACTCACACACGCACGACCCGAGGCTGGCCAAGCCTGGGTGTAACGTAAGAAGAAGGGAGGAAGGGTGGACGGGAGTTCTTGTCCCGTGCCCGGGTCGTCCAGGGTTCGCTGTGATCTCCGACTTGCTTTGGCTCTCAGGAGGGTTTTTAAGTCCTGGGCTTTTTTGAGGGGTGTTTCGTTCAGGGATCTCTGCTCCTGGTGCTCTTTGTACCAGTCCAAACCGGCTCGCTGTGGCCTTTTTGGCTTTCCCAAAACACCGGCTTCAGAGACTTTGTTTCCCCCGCACCGTTGGCCTTCCCCGTCTCGCTCGTTTTGCAATCTCTGCAGCCCTGCTCAGCTCCGCTCTCCTTTTCTCACGGCTGGCCGGGGTTGGGTAGATGTGAATGCAGCTATAAACTTCGTGTCGAGCCCATGGCCTTGGACCGGGGCCAGCGTCTTATCTTCAGACGGAGCTCGCTGAAGTGTCGAGTTAACCCGTTCTCTGCGCTCTTCCTCCTTCCCCCTTTGGCCTTTCGCAACCTGCAAAGGAATCTTCCACTTCATACTCACGCGCCTTTGACCCTTCCCCGAAATGCCTTGCAACGCTTGCAACCGCGTTAGAAACATACAATGCTAATTTGCCTCCCCATGGGACCCCTTGGGCCTGTGACAGGGTCCCCGTCTCAGATGGAGATGCTCTATTTGTAATACAAATAAATAATAAGAGTCTCTCTCAATCTATTGCTGACTCTGCCACTAACCTCTTATGAGGCCTCTGGGTACGTTCGTTTAGCCTCTTTGCCTCAGTTTCCTCATCTGAAAAACAGTGATAGATCCTGTCTCGCAGGGCCACGGAGGACTTTGTCATTTGTGTTTTCCAGAGAGTTTTACAGATGAAAAATGTTATGTGCGCCACTACTGCAATGCAGCCACCTCTGGGGTGGGGGGGAACAGGGCGGCTAACAGAGCGCAGTAACACTACAAACGTGTAAGACAGGAACTTGCCCTTCATGTGAGCTCTAATGCATGACAAGAAGGCATTAATAATGGGTCATCATCTGTCCATAGGAGCTGAGGACCTCACAATCTTCACTGCATTTATCCTCTCACATCCCTGTGCAGCTGGGCAGGGCTGTTATCTGCACAGTGGGGGTGAGGACCTGAGGCCCAGACTGGCTACATGACTTGCCCAAGGGCACACATGATGTGTGTGTCAGAACAGGAGCACTACTACAGCCTAGGACCATCCTTCCTCCCGGTCAACTCATCCTCCCCAAAACCACAGAGGCCAGCAATCTTTTTGGTGGTGACTTTTACCCCCAAAAAGCCCAAGGCAGGTTCGTCAGACTCGTTTGAAACACCAAAGAAG